GCCTTTATTTTCAGAGATAAAATCTGAAAACAAATTGAACATTTCAAACGATCCTTTTCCAGCTTCGGACTCCCATGGCAACAATTTTTTCTTAAATGAATCAATTTTTTTCCAAAGGTCAAATGCAATTTTAGATGGTCCCTGCAGGCCTAGATTCAATATGTTGAGCTGTTCAAAAATATCTGCTAAAAATGCTAACTGGGCCATAAATTCTCTGTCACGCAGTGTTTTCGCTAAATCAGGTTTTTTTTCATCAAGATACATACATACTTCTTCTCGAAGTTCATGAAATCTGGCTAAAAACCCGGCCCCTGGACAGCCACCTAACTTCGGTATGTAGAAGGAGATTGGAATGGATGGATCCCATGTCCTCGCATAACAAAGCAAACAATCTCGAACTAAGAGCATTACTTTTTATAAAGTTCACGGCCTTTACCACAGTAGTCAAAACCTTGTTTAGGTCGGGACTTAATCTTTTGGCAGCAAGCATTTCGGGATGAATAATACAGTGTGTTAAAACAATATCACGGCTTCCTTCTTTCCTTACAAAACTTGGCAAGCCTATTTTGTGACCTGTCATTGCCGCGGCACCATCAGAGCAAAGTCCTACACAGTCTTTTCAAGAAAGATTTTTAATTGTGAAATATCCGTCAATGGCTTTAAAAATGTCTTTTCCGGTTGTGTTACCTTGCAACTCAATCGAGGTCAGGAACTCCTCAGATAATTTTTTGTTGTCTTTATCTATGAATCGTATATAAACAAGAAGAATAGCTTTATTGGTAATATCTGTAGATTCATCAAGTTGTACAGCAAAAATCTTTGAGAAATGAATTTTCTTTAGAAAGGTGGTTTAGTTAGGTGGTCCGCGGACCACATGTTGAGAATCACTGATCTAAGCCATATAGTGAGGGGGAATCGATATAGAATACTACAACTAACCCTTAAAGACAAAATAGAAGGCCGTAGAAGTGTAGAGAGAAAACAGATTTCTTGGTTAAAAAGCATTCATTAATGGACTCAGATATTAAATCCAGGATAATTATTCCATGTGGCAGAATATCAAGAAGCCTTCATAATGGTAACCATCAATACCGTCAGATAAATCTGATCTTCTTCTTCTTGTAGTGCCGTGTACCTATAGTGCGTTGGCGAATTATCTTAAGGCCAGACGTCTGTCTTTTGTGGCATGCAAAAGATCGCCAGTATTATTTATGCCTGTCCATTTTTTTATGTTTCGTAGCCACGACATTTGCTTGCGATCTACTCCTCTCTTGCCTTTAATCTTTCCCTGAATAAATCTGATATATAACGTTAAAGAGAAGAAAAGGATAACATGTAAGCAGTTATGTAAAGAAAATACCAATTAATCTCTAGCGGTTCGCCTTCAAACAGTTACATCAAGAGACGACTTTCTACTCACTTTCTTAGTGCAATATTATTTGAAAGTAAAACAAATACTGAGTACGATGAATATTATTTTCATCATTCTGGATTTACCACACTGCATGGCTCCTAGCCTTCTTAAAAATTTTTCTCCAGTCGTCCCAATATATCGCCGTCCTCCGCCAAGCACGTATTCCCCCATATTTCTTATGTATTTATCGATGGTATTAAGGATCTGTGTCTTTCTTTTCTTCTTTAACCAATGGGTCTATCATGAAGCGTTTTTCTAGCTGGGTCATTTTGTTCTCTCCGTATTACATGCCCTATCCACCTCAGACGTCCTATCTTAATATGTTTTCCGATATCTTGCTTCTGGTGTATTCTTTAAAGTTCAAAGTTGTATCGTTTTCTCCACACTCCATTATTATTCACTGCTCTATATAAGTTGCCTTAGTACTTTTCGTTCGTAACATACTAAAATGTTTTCATTACTTTTTGTTAGAGTCCAGGTATCTGACCCATATGTTAGAACTCGGCGTATTATTGTTGTGTGTTTTATGTTTGTATTTCTCAATATAATTATGGATTTAAGGAGAAGATTAAGCCCAAAATAGCATCTGTTGGCCAGGCAAATTCTGCGGTTTATCTCTGCGATAGTATTATTTTCAGTATTAAGACACGTTTGATTGTTTTAATGGTACATACGCCTTTCGGAAAGCGTTTTCCGTTCTTCCAACAATATTGATATCATCAGCATAGCACTGATTTATTATATATTGTACCAATGGTTGTAATTTGTTACATACGTTTTATTTTTCACATCCAGATTAAACAGTATAAAGAAGAGAGGGTATTCCTGGCGCAGCCCATTATTTGTTTTAAAAGGTTTAGACAATTGTCCCTGTTCAGTTCGCCTTGAATTCGTACTCTACATTCAACTTGTTTAACAGTTAGTTTTGTCAAATTTACTAACTGATTTGATATCCCTATCTTTCGTTGCTTTAAACATTTCTCTTTTATTCACAGAGTCGTTGGCTGCTTTGTAGTCTATAAATATCTGATGAGTATCCATGTCAAAGAACTGTGAAAAATATTTTATAAGCTGCATTTTGAAGCGTAATTCCTCTGTGGTTAGAGCATTCAAAGGTATCTCCTTTTTTGTGTATGGTGCAAACTATTTTATTGTTCCAATCATTGGGGAGAAATTTCTGTGTTCATATTTTCTTTATAAGCTGTTGTAATGCCATAATGGTATATTGGCCACTGTTTGGGAAAGTATGTATTATTTTGTTTCATATTTTTACATTTAATATTTTTCTGTTACGGTACTGTAATGTGATCTAATTTAATCTAAAAATGATCTAAAATATATTATTTCCTGTTATTTCGTAAAACTTAAACTGGCTATCTCATTTATGATGTTGTAAGTACGGAGAATTTGGCTTTCTTGTGTATTCTGGGTCAAAAATATACACACAAGTGCAAGGTTTTGTATTACCGTGTCAATTAACTTTAAATTATCGCCATTTAAAATCGTCCGACAATAGAGTCGATTTATGGCATGTTCTGGCATACGAGCTGTTGACCACCCAACGGTCAGAGGGTGGTTTTTGCCCTAGTAACGATCTCAAGATTCTTAAGACAGGCACTTCTTCGTAAGTTGGTACCACGACCAACTCTTCAGCCTGTTACGAATACATCAATAGAACCAAAGGGTAAGTCTATGTTCTTTGTATAAACAACAATAATGACTAAGACCAGTTAATTTCATAATTTATTCATAATTTATAGTTGCTATTTTTCTCTATTTTATTTACAAACAAATATTGCATTTTTCTTTATAATTATTTATCTAATATTATTTAACCAGCGACCTCTTAAGTTTTATCCTAAACAGCCACCTTCTTTATATAGTTCAGCTGGGAGATTATCTATTTCGGGTGATTTGTTTCTGGCTAGTTTTTTAACCACATTTTTAACTTCAAGAATCGTTGTTGGTTCATCTTCCTTCTCATCTGTTCTTGTTACCTCATCTCTTTCGTCTTCTTGCTTTATATTACGTGCCTTATTAAAGTATTCCATCCATCTATTCAATAAATCTTTTCTTGTTGGTAATAGGTCGTTATTCTGACTTCAGCGTTGACTTGTGGTTGCCTTAAATTCTTTTTTGTTGATATTAACTTTCTTATATTAAAAAAAATTATTTGAGGAATATGCCAAATGGGGGCTTACTGTAAACATAAGCAAAACAGAATATTTAAAAATTGGAGGAAATACCACATATCTGAGGCTTGAAAACGCAGTCATAAAAGGCTGCAACTAGTATAAATATCTAGGAAGCATCATATCAGCAGATGGCAGAGTTAAGATAGATGTACAAAACCGAATAACCCAAGGGAAAAAATGCATCCGAATACTGAATTCATTACTGTGGTCTAATAAAATAAAGATGCATACCAAACTTCGCGTATACAGAGCAATTGTAGAACCAATTACCACATATGGTGCCGAATGTTGGACGATGACAAAGAATGAACGAGATAAAGTAGACGTTGTGGAAATGGATTATCTTAGAAGGTCATGTCGAGTATCGAGAATGGAAAGAATCAGGAATGAGGAAATACGAAACCATATCGGAATTAGAGATACTCTTTCAGATAGAATACAAGGAAGGCAATTACAATGGTATGGTCACGTGATGAGTATGGAGGAGGAGCGGTGGCCAAAGAAAGCCTTAATGTATGTTCCGCCAGAAAGAAGGAAAAGGGGAAGACCACCAAATTCCTGGAGAAGAGAAATTACAAAAACAATGCAATCTAGAGGCTTAGAAGAGGGAGATTTGAGATATAGGAAAAGATGGAGGCTGAAATGCGGGAAGCGGCAATCGCCGTAGGACCCCCGTTATATGATGATGATGAACTTTCTTATAGAATACTCTGAATTCTTTCTCTCTATTGAAGTTTTTTGTATACTTAAGTAGTTTCGTTTTTTTCTTTCATGTATCCTCTTTTCTTCTTTTTTTCTAGTAATTCTCTAGAATTTTTCTATTTCGTCGGGTAAGCATCTTTCTGTACGCTTCATTTTTTTCTTTTGTTGCATTCTTGCATTTATCATCACACCAATGATTTTCCAGGCACAAATTTCTGTTCCTATTTTATCTTTCGCTGCTACTTAAATATCTTCTTTTATTCTGGTCCAGCAGAAGTCTATATCTGCCTATAAGTTATATAATACATACATTAGTTCTTGATCAATCCCAGACCTTGAAAGAAAGCAAATTACCATAAAATGTTTTCTATATTTAACTGCAGATTAATTTTTGGTTTTAATCTGTCATGTGCAAAATATTTTCTTTGGTAATTGACATGTTCATGAGTTGCGCATCAGTGTATGATAAACTTTATTTTTACATGGTATTAACTTAACAAAAATATTAATTCATATTCATGGTTAACTAGTTTGTTATTATTCATCTTCCAGTTTTTTCTGTCACAGTTATTTTAATTATAACTTCCTTACCATGGTAATTGATAATATTTTTGGAATTTGAATATTATTTATATATATTTGAAGTTTATCATACTTTTTTATATGTATAATGTATATACTATTTGTAGGTCCTTAATAAAACCAAAGAAGACATAACTAAAATTGAACTGGCTTCACACAATATTCTGCTTCAGAAAGATAATTATCTTGTCGAGAAAGAAAAAATTGATAACTCCAGTCAATTAAGAGAAACAATAAAATTAAAACCTTGTCATCTTTTTAAAACACTGGAAACCGAATTTTCTGCAGAGTATAATTTAATTCAACCAGACGATCTGCCCACATTAGTTTATTCATACTTAGGTAAGAGACAAACATTTTATGCAATATTAATAACTGATAAAATAAAGACAAGATAGACATTATTTCGTTGATATTGTTGGCAATCTTCAAGAAGATGGTACTATGCGCACAAAAATATAACCAGATAAGATAGTGCTTTCTTGTACATTTCTAAACTTACTTGTATATTTTTAAACAGCTGGATTCGATAGCTGCGTTATTATAATTTCACACTCTTTTTATAAAAACTGGAAATTATATTGTAAAACTGTGTACACAAACAGTAAACAGTGTATATAAAATCCTCCAGAATATCCTTCCTTGTAGATTATCCCCTGCTGCTGTAAATATTGTAAAAGAATATCAGCTTACTTTTAGGGCTTCCAGCAAAACAAGTAATCAACTTTTATATTGGAACAATATGCTTATATTGGACTTTTGTTCAGTAAAACCACATCGCCTAGTCAAACGGTTTTCCCATAAGGAGAAGAAACACATTTTTGTTTCTCAACCAAATATGATAACGCAATATAATTCTTTTATGGGTGGCGTAGACCGCTGTGACCAAAACATTAATCTTTACTGGATCTCTATAAGAGAAAGAAATGGTACTTTCCGCTAATAGTACATGGAATTGGCATGGCTATTCAAAACGGGGAGGGCAAAGATATTGCCAGGGTGGCAATGGGAAACCACTGCATTAAAGGCTTAACAGAGCATCCTTAGTAAAATCACAATAGACAGCAAAAGCACAAAATTGGCCCTTAGTGCCGGGCACTCCTTTAATGGAGACGGTGCTAAGAATCCTCCGAAGGAACAAAATATTAGCAAATGCAACAAAAAGAATTGGAACCTGGAACGTCTGAAGTATATTAAGGCCAGAAAAAAAATCATAAAAGGCCAACATCATAAAAGAAATAAGACTACTTCATATCGATGTATTAGGGTGCAGCGAAGTTAGATGGCCGAACAACGGCAAAATTGAATCAGACGAGCATCACATATACTATTAAGATGATAACACAACAAATAATAGAAATATCGTTGCAATTATTATTAAAAAAGAATGGGATGATGCGGTTGTAGGATTTCTCGCTATCTCGGGTAGAGTAGCTTTGTTAAAAATAGATGCAAGACCAAACAACCTTAATATTTTACAAATTTATGCTCCGACATTGGATAGCTCAGAGTAGGAGATTGAACATTTCTGTGAAGAATTAAGGAATGCATCGAAAAATATGAAAAAACAAGAAGTCAGTATAATCATGGGAGACTTTAATGCCAAAATTGGAGAGGGTACAATGGAAGGCATAATATGAGAGTATGGATTGGGTATACGAAATGAAAGAGGCGAACAACTGATACAATTTTGTCAAGAAACAGATAATATACTCATGCACAGCCAATTCAAACTACCAGCTAGAAGGCTATATACCTGGAAGTCTTCCATAGAATGCAACAAATAATTAGAAATCAAATAGATTGTTTACTAATAAATAAAAGGTTTGGTAATGCGGTTACTTTAATAAAAACCTATCCTGGAGCAGATATCATCTCTGACCATAACTTATTGCTTGCTGAACTGAGAGTAAGGATGAAAACAACTCGGTGAAAAACAACAATAAACAACATTAAACAGGAAAGATAAATAAAGCAACCATGGATGACACTTATCAGATCAGATTTTAGAGCTTATGGAGCAAAGAAAAGAGTTTAAGAATAAAGACACAGAAAAGTACAAGGAACACCACAAAAAGGTACCTAAAGAAACAAAATTTGCAAAAGAATCCTGGCTGTTAGAGAAATGCTTAGAAATAGAGATCCTACGGGAAAAACATGATATATTCAATATGCACAAAAAGATCAAAGAAACGGCAGGAATGTATAGAACAACAATGCCCACTGCACTGTTTGATAAAGATGAAAACATACTATTTAATACGTAAGAAAAACTGGACAGATGGCAGAAATATATAGCAGAACTGTACAGTGACAACCAACACATTGAAATATATGACAACGTCGAGAATGGACCAACAATAACAAAATCAGAAGTAAGATCTGCTATAAGTCGTCTTAAAAACAACAAAGCGCCAGGACCAACGAGCAAATGATGTTATTACAGATATATTTGCCTATTTCATTGACTTCGAAAAGGCATTTGACAAAGTACATCATAAGAGGCTTATTGAAACTTTGCGAATCGCGAATATTAATGACAAGGATATAAGGATAATAGTCAATATCTATAGAAAGCAAGTAACCAAGATTCGAGTAGACAATAAATTATCCTATGAAGTCCCAATACAAAGAGGAGTACGACAAGGTTGCATAGCTTGTGTATAGCAATAATATTCTGACTTTTTTAAAACTCTTTCTATGCAGCTGTGAACTGCATCTATCTCTTGATTACACGATTGGCCTGAAGTTAAAAACTTTATTATTGTGGATTCGATGTTTGAATTATTTTTTAGAAGGAACGCAATCGCTGCAGAGATAAGGGAATTTTTGTTTTTTGGTACACAACTATCACTCCACAATACTGTGGTTTTAATATTGGGATGATCCAAAAAACAGCTTTTAGAATTTAGATCAATGCACTTGTTATATCATTGCCACTTATACCCATAAGAGCTTTACTCTACAACATTTAACTTGCTTTAGTTGCTAACTTCAACTTTATTTTTGGTATTTAAAGTTTCAGTTACTCGTTATTTTAGAAATATAGAATAATGAAATTGTTTAGAAACCTTATCCACACACAATGTAATCGATTACTCACAAAATGTGCACACAAGTTTATAGTTTCCCGTTATTTTAATAGTTCATACATCTATCTGTTATAACAAAGTACTGTTGAAACAAAGTTGTATGTGCGTAATACTCAGCTGCTTGAAATGTAAGCGTAAAATATCAAAGTTGCGTGTGACACATACAACTAAGTTATTCTAAATTAAACAGTTTTCTAGAGTTAGCGAGGTGTAGCTGGTACATTAAACTATGTAACTTTAATAATTGAAATTCATCGTAATAGAACTGTGTATTTCTGGCTGCCAAAATAACAGGATGTGACATAGAACACTAAAATTATCTGGAAGCAAAATCTAAGGCACACACAACTTGGTAATACCCATCGAGTTAGAATCTATGGAGAAGCTATGAGCATATTAACGTGTGTATTAAAAACGGCGTAGATAGGCGTGGCTAGCGATAATACCAATATGGCGGTGGGATCATGGCCGGAGTCAATAATATTAAAACTACTATAAAAATATGACTAGTTATTTATAAGATTTAATCATAATATAAAAAAGTCCAATACATTTTTAATAAACTATGATTTATTTATCCCGCGGTAAAAACTAAAAACACGATATATTATACATAAAGATAAATACATACAGTCAAATACTATGAATTTATTATCTGAAGTACGGGCCATTACTTTGTTTACATATTTGTATACTAACCTGTACAACGTTATTCCTGAAGATTTTTTATTAACATTGCTTCTGCTACTGGAACTACGCGGAGAACAAAAAACCATTATTATGCACTACCACAATATATTATTACATGTATTATAAAACTAAAAATATTCGAAAAACAACAAACAATAACGATCTGTCAAAAGTGTCAAAACAATATTAACAATATGGCCGAAGTGAGGTCGTTTTTAGCATCGAGCAAAAAGACAATAGAGGGAATGTAAAGGTAGTGGGGGCAAACATATTGTTAGACAGGAAGTGCGATCTTTAGAGGCCACTTTAAACAAGGAAAGAGAGTCTCTCTCCTTGTTTGACATCAAATTTAGTTGGGTTATGTTATTGTTTATCCCAAATGTCACATGAAATCTTACTTATATTGAAGTTTTTTAACAATTGTGTCGCATTTTAGACACTTATCATTAATAATTAATTAAAACTTTCTCGTCTAAGACACATTCTGAAAAATATTATATAGCTACTGTTGATAAGTGTCGGAAAATTTAAATTTCGCGCATTCGCATTTCCGGATATGTCCGCCATCAGAGGCCACTTTTTTGGTCTCCTTTTCATAAGGATTAGATTCCCTCTTTTGTCTTATTGCTCGATGGTTTTTAGTCACGTCTTTAGTCATAGTCTCCATAGATTCTAACTCGATGGTAATACCACAAAATAATAAACAATCAGAATGCCCACTCTCCATGGAAAAAGTACGCGCATCTTTCGCGAAAGACGTTCCACTTTGTTTTAAAGAGAACCAGTGTTGTTTATGTGGCGTGCATAGAAAAATTAACCCTCTTTAATTACGGCAATCATAGACATACTATAAAATTATATTAACATTGTTAAGTATAATAACATAAATATAATATGATTAAACATAAATATAAATAATTACATAACCTCACAAATCATATGTCTGTATTATGTGTTTCCTTTTAAAATATGGCGCGCGTGTTGAAAAACTTCAAAGGCGGCATTTGAGAGTGGGCATTCTGATTGTTTATTATTCTGTAGTAATACCATAAAACCGATTTTGCAAAAAATGTTACACACAACAGTCACAGAATAATAAACAATCAAAATGCCCACTCTTCATAGAAAAATAAGTACGCGCATCTCGTTCGCGCAGGCGTTCCGCCATGTTTTAAAGGGAACCAGTGTTGTTTATGTGGTGTGCATAGAAAAATTAACCCAGTTTAATTGACTTATGGGTTAGTCAATTAAAGGTAGTGTGCTTAGGGCCCGCGTAGCGCAAGCGGTAGTGTGCTTGCCTCGCATGCCGGTGGTCGTGAGTTCGAATCCTACCGCCGGCAAGAACAACTAGGCATTTTTAAAAATGTCTATAGGCCCCAGGTCGACTCAGCCTGAATAAAATGAGTACCTTGGGTAAAACCAGGGGTAATAATAGGCGGTTGAAGCGTAGCACTGGCCATGTTACCTTCCTTGTATACCGTAGGCCCTAGATATAGCAGACTACCCTGCTATACTCCCAAAGCCGCGTGCGGTATAAAACGGGAGACTATTATTATTAATTGACTTATGGCAATCATAGACATACTATATAATTATAAATATTAACATTGTTAAATATAATAACATAAATATAATATAATTAAACATAAATATAAATAATTACATAACCTCACAAATCATATGTCTGTGTTATGTATTTCCTTCTAAAACATGGCACGCGTGCTGAATAACTTCAAAGGCGGCATCTGAGAGTAGGCATTCAGATTGTTTAATATTCTGTGCAACAGTATAATCACTTTAATTCTGAACTAACAAAATGTTTGCATATATACTATATGTATACTTTTGTAAAGTGTACTTGTGTCAATGACTTTATGTCTGAACGGTCAAAATGTGTTAATTAAAAATAAAAAAAAATGGTATTAATTGAAGATAGAAAAACAGTGATTCTGGCAGTCAAAGAAAAAATATCTAGGTGACTGATTGTATCGGTCTTCAGAATTCAGCTCTCGCTGCCATGTAATAACAGTGATTAAAGAGCATAATATGATCATTTTTTGTCGAAGTTTTAAGTTTAGGATTGATTAGATAGACACTTGGATAAAGTAAGGAATATTTAATGAAATACGGTGTTTGTCTTAATAATTAATATCACTTGATCCTGTAAACAATTTTTGGACCGTAAATTAAAAATGGTCCTTCCAATGAATATCTCATTTCTTGGAATTTCCTTTTCTATTCAAATAAATTGCGTATGCACAAATGATCCAAGACATTGATTCGCGTTATCTCGTATCCAAGACATCGTAGAGAATTGTTATGTTAGATCTAGATTGCCTTGATAATAACGTCGATTTTCACGTTTTTATTAAAATTTAATAGTCACTATATCACACAGTAAGAAGCAATCAAAATATTGCTTAGAAGCTGTTGTGGAATTTGTGGATTATCATTATACTGCTCAACTTAGTACAAGTCCCAAGCGGTCATAACTTCCCATAGGTTCTTATATTTGGTTATATAGTTAAATATTGACAGAAAAATACGACTAATTGGAATTTCTTTCTATTTTTTAGATGTGAGAAGAAAAGACCATCGTATTTGTCCAGCTTGTGCTAAACGAGAAATGTCCACTACAATAAAAAGAAAAGAGTAAGTTCTTAATAATTGTACAATAATGATAGCCTGTGTATCCTTTTGTCGTAGGAAACAAAACAACGAGAGTTTCAAAAATATACTGTAACTTTAGTTAAAAGCTATACGGACAGTTACAAAGTTATACCAAACTATGTCGTCTTTAATAACTACAAAGTAGGGGAAATCTATCAGGTAAATAGCTTAAATTATCCAATGACTAAAACTATATTATGTGAATTTTAATGTTTCTTTTCGGTGTAATGACTTTAAGCTTTTCGAAGTGGAATTGGATTTGAATATTTGCTCAATAAAGAGCAGAATTACATAAAAATTAACGTCATTAAAGGCAATCATAAAAAATGGAAGACAATCAAAAATATCTCATTACGAGCAAGTAGATACTGGATGACTGTAGAGATAATCGGACTTTGGAAAACGAGGAATGTATAAAAATGTAGATACGTAGACATATATAATAATATTAGCAGGAAGATAAGAATAAATATAAGAAGGGCTAAGGACGAACAGTTATTGTTAAAAAATTACATTTCTAACCTGCACAAGAAAATAAGGCACAAGACCTGCACTAGCTAAAATAAAATAAATACGGGCAACTGGTTTCTAGATAAAAATAGAAGACTAATTTCAGACACCAGGGAAATATTTAAAATGTGAAAAGTGAAAATAAAACAGTGGATTTTTATTTTAAGTCTATTTCTAATACAGAAACTATTCTTAAATAATGTTAAAGCTTACTTCCATCGCAAACCCCTAACCATCGATTAATTAGACTGCGTCACCTACAAAATATTTTTCAAAAATATTTATAATATAATCTATTAAACACTCTGGGACAGAGCCAGAAGTACAGATATATGACATAGATGCATAATGAACATAAAAATCTGGTTACGAAATAAAGGGGGAGAATAAAACGCTCATTTAAGCCGAATGACAACGAATAGAGTAGTAAAGACGACAAGAGATGGTTCCCCAATAGAAAAAAGATCAGTAGGAAGACCACTGAACCACCGTGGAGTAAACTTAAAGAAGAGATTGGGACTTCAAGCACTAAGTTTTTACTACCTGATAAGAGAAAAAAGAAAGACTGGATGACTGCAGAAATCCTTGACATGATGGAAGAGAGACGGGTATATAAAACTAAAGATACTGCCAAATACCGTGAAACCCATAGACGAATAAGAGCTGAGATAAGAAAAACTAAAGAGAAATGATTCTCGGAGAGATGCGAAGAAATCGAACAGTGCGAAAAGGTATACGACTATTACAATATGCATAAAGAAGATAAAAGAACTCACAACAAAGAAAAGCTACAATATATTTATCGAAAGGGCTGTGTGATGATAATGGAAATCTACAACTAGACCCCGACATAATAGTTAGAATCTGGGAAACTTATGTGTAACAACTGTTTAATAATGACCGTCCTAGTGGGTGTATACTAAGCAATGATAATACTGGCCCTTCTATTCTAAAATCAAAAGTGGAGAATGCTATGAAGGGTTTTAAAAATAACAAAAGACCAGGCAACGATAACGTATACGGGGAAGTATTGAAAATGCTGCGCGAAACAAACAGTCAATTTCTAGACTCACTCGTCAGACTCTTTAACAGTATTTTATAAAAGCGGGGAGTTTCCTGAAGACGGGCTAGAGTCAACTTTTGTTGCCATACTGAAAAAAAGAAAAGCAAAGTCTTGTGATCAACATCGGATAATAAGTCTAATTAACCACATTTTGAAGGCATACACCAAGGTTATTTACAACAGAATAAGCAAAAAATGCGAGGATAACATTGGAGATTTGCAGTTTGGGTTTCAGAATTCTCTTGGACAAGAGAAGCACTTTTTAGTCTACAGGTACTCATCCAGCGCTGCAGAGATATGAACAAAGACGTGTACATATGCGTTATAGACTTACGAAAAAGCATTCGATAACCTAAAGCACGAAAAGATAATTGAAGTTCTTCATAAGATCGGAGTCTACTACAGAGACATTCGAACAATAGCGAGTCTCTATTGGGTTAAACAGCCAAAGTGAAAGTAGGATCTACATTGACCAAAAACATTGAGATCAAGAAAGGGTACGACAGGCTGTATCTTGTCTCCAATTCTCTTTAATATATACTCAGAAGAAGTATTTAAGACAGCGCTGGAGGAAAGCACAGAAGGCATAAAGATAAATGAAGAAATAATTAATAACATAAGGTATGCTGATGACACTGTGATTCTAGCAAGTAGCATGGAGGAACTGAGTTGCCTAATGAGTAATATACAAAAAACAAGTGCACAATACGGACTCAGACTAAATATCACAAAAACCAATGGATGTTAGTAAGCAAAACACAACAACCACCACAGCAACTGATATTAGACAATGAAAGAATTGAACACGTGGATTCGTACATCTACTTGGAACAACAGTTAACTCAAATTGGGATCAAGCGAAGGAAATACGTATAAGAGTAGAAAAAGGCAAGATCATCGTTCACTAGCATGAAGCAAATTTTCACCTCTAAAAGCCTCACCCTACCTCTCAAAATTCGACTTCTGAGATGTTATGTATTCCCGGTTTTGTATATATGGAATGGAGGCGTGGACAATGACCGCAACATTGATGAAAAAAGATAGAGGCCTTCGAAATGTGGGCTTACCGACGTATATTACGTATATCTTGGACTGAGCACGTGACCAACGAAGAGGTACTACGCCGATAGGTAAAGAGAGAGTAGGAATAAGTATAAAGAAAAGAAAGTTGGAATACTTGGGTCACGTTATGAGACATAATAAATATAAAGTACTACAGCTGATCGTTCAAGGGAAAATAGACAGCAGAAGGGGTCCAGGGAGAAGAAGACCCTCGTGGCTCCAAAACTTGCGGCAATGGTTCGGATTGTCATCTGCTGAACTATTCAGATCCGCCGTAAACAAAGTTAGAATAGCCATGTTGATTGCCAACGTTCGGATCGGACAAGGCACATGAAGAAGAAGAAGGAATACCACGAAAACGATGGAATGACAACTTAATGGAGGCACATTGAAAAACAGACAGAGTCATGTGTATATAAAAAGAAGAAGAAGAATCTATTGAAGAATGGAACAAGATATAACTAAGGCACAATTTGTCTTTAAGAATGCACTTGGAATAAGAGAATCCTTATTTGCCATAAATATGTTGGTGAAAAGGTGCATAGATATAAAATAGAAAAACTCGTGTATCTCGGCAGTAATATCAATGAGAGCGGGGATCCAACCGCAGAAATTAAAAGCCGAATAGAACAATCCCGAGCTGCCTTTGTAAAAATAAGAAACCTACTTTGCAGTCACGATCTTAGCATTGACATTAGAGTTCTAATGACATCTTGCTACATTTTTCCTGTCCTGCTGTATGAAGTGGAAGCGTGGACTCTAACTGAGGCTATTCTTAAACGCTTGACAGCCTTTGAGATGTGCATATACAGACGACTACTGAAAATAAGCTGGGTCGACAGAATTAGAAATGAGGAGGTCCTTAGACGGCTGAGCCAAACAACACAACCTGGTCAATATAATAAAGAAACGCAAGCTGGGAATACTTCGGTCACATTATGAGACACCCTGAAAAATATGATCTGTTACATCTAATCATTCAGAAAGATCCAAGGTAATCGTATTCCTGGTAGAAGAAGAACATCACGGCTAAAAAATCTAAGGCAATGGTATGGAAAATCAACTACATCGTTATTTAGAGCTGCTGTCAATAAAGTCACGATAGCGAATATGATAGCCAACATGATATCCAACGATCGATAATGGTCATGGAACTAGAAGAAGAAGAAGATATAAACTCAACCAGTGCACATCTGCTTTTTCGACTACAGACCATTCTGAACAGAGCATTCGATAAAATCAGACACAACCGTCTCATAAAACTACGCCAATAAAAAAAATACCAAGGACATCAGAATTATTACCGAACTTAACTTTAATCAAGCAGTCATAATCAAGAAGGAGAAAGAGCTTTCTGATAAAACTGAAATAAGAAGAGAAGAGAATTAGACAAGGATACGTATTATTACCTATCCTATTTAATATGTATTCCGAAGAAATTTTCTAAGAAATACTACGAGTAAGAAACAATGGGTGGAAAATTAAAAACGAAAAACCTATCTACAATTTAAGATATACTAATGATACGGTAAGTACTGATAGCGGAATTTTTTGAAGATCCCCAGCAAATAGTAAATCAAGTTGTGGAATTCAGAGTAAATGATCACCTTATTTACTTGTTTACAGTAAATGACCAACTTATTAATAATATAAAATGTGCAGACGATACCGTGTTTGCCAGCAGATATTGCGCAGAGGCTAAATAGTGTAATAGATAATGTTGTAGAAACATATTACAAAAACGTCCCAAAACTAAATTGTAAGAAGACACAAATAATGATCGTTAGTAAGAACACCAACATAAACAGCCAAATTGCAAACAATGCACCGTTACAAAGAGTTGAGAAAATATGCTATTTGGGCTGCAATATTAAGAAAACTTGGAATTATATCTACTTAATAAAAACTTGTATCGAAAAAGCCAGAAGCTCTTTTAACGGTCTTAGGAAGATTATCTGTAACTTATCTTTAAGTATCAATATACGCATAAGAATTCTTAGCTGTTGAGTGTCCTCTCTAGAATAAAATGCTGAAGACTTACAGAAGATGCCATAAAACAGCTATAGGCATTTGAAACGTGATGCTACCGACGTATGTTAAGGTTGTCATCTAGATAACTATTTTCCAGATGCTCAGAAAAGACAAAGACATTATTAACACCGTAAATAATTGACCGCATTATGCGTAATAATAAATATCGAGTTCTACAGAAGTTGATTTTTAAGGCAAGATTATAGGCAAGAGACGCCATATATCCTGGCCAATATTAAAAAATGGACTAGTCTAACGTCAACTGATCTATTTTGAGCTAATGTGATACCTCTAGAAGATAATCATCTTTAAAAAAAGAAAAAGTAATACAGTAAAGAAATAGGTCTGAATCAAAAATGTCAACTAATGATGGTCAATAAATCAACAGAGTCTAATGGTATACGGAGAATAAATAAAACAAGTCCAAACATACAAATATTTAGAATTAATAATTAACGACAACAACGACTATACTGATTTTTTTTAAATTTTGTATTTATTAAAATCTGTTGCCATTATAACAATAAAAAATATATTTAAAATTAAAAGTGATAAAAAAATTACATAATGGATCTACACCAAACTGTGAGCACCCTTATTTTTGTGCACCTATATTTCGTTTCCATTACTAAATTTCTGACTTTTATACAAATAAGTTAGTTCTATCTAGTTCCTAGCAGTAAAGAGATCCTTTACTGCTAGGAAAGGATTAAACCTTTTTAATCTTCTAAGCAGTGCTGTAATCGAGAAATCGTTGGCGAGGGGATTTAGATGGAGAATAGTCTCTTGAAGAAGTTTGTAGAGTGAGTGATGGTTACTTCTTTAACAACTTAAAAATTTAGGTCATAATAAATAACATAGTCCAGTATATACCATGGAGCATTGCAGACATCACGAATAGTTTGGATTAAAATCTTTTGTATTTTTTGCATATTTTTCGTATTGCTGACAGTTTCCCAGATTTAAATTCGATACATGCATACCAGTAGTAGTATTGCCTTACCAATTTACGTAATATTGTATGTATAAATCCAGATAACTTCCTAACTTCACATATAACTTTTTAACTTCTAAAATAAAGTTACAACTACCTTATCTCATAGCGAAAATTCTGCAGTCATATATAACATCTACTTTCTTCTTAATTAATCAATGCTAAGCTTGCACTTCCCTTTATTTGATCTGGGCAGGAGTTCCTCAAAGTATGATTTACCAAATCAGAATTTACAGATATGTATTTACCAAATAAAAAATATTTAATACTTTCAAAGTGTTACGTATTCTCTGTGTTGCTGTAGTAGTGGACGCATGCACGCTAAAGAAATAAACCGATAGATTGGAGGCTTTCGAAATGTGGACCTACAGAAAAATAATTCAAATAAACTGGGTGACTTACAAACCTAATGAAAATAATTAGAAAACAAAAAGAAGTGAAAATAATATCAAAATTAGAAACTTACATTATTTGAGTCATGTTATAAGAGGTGATCGGTACGAATTGCTGCAGGTGATAAATAAGAGTAAAATACAAGTATAGAGAAGATGTGGTAGAAGTTAGATTTCCTGGCTAAACAATCTATGAAGGTGATTTAACTGTAGTTCTATAAAACTGTTATAAGAAGCTAAGGATTTATTACTAACTCCTTTAATTTGCAATTTTTATGAATCATATTTTTGCTATGTCGACTTAATAATGGCAAATCTACACGTCTCAAAATTATTTTCATATCTTTAGAAGTTCTTTGTTTTTATTTTTCTTGAATGTATTGTCCAGATTTAAAAGTTTCTCATTAAACGAAATTCATATGAAAAATAGTTTCTTTTTTTGAAGAAAAGTAAGTTATAAATTTCTCTAACTTACTTATATTATCCTGGTACCACTAATAATTTTTGTATTGCTTTTAAAAGGTAATTTTTTGTTGCAAAAATTCAACATTATAAAACTTTATTGCAAATTAATTATGAGTTTGATATTTTTATATCGTTGCTAGAGTACAGCATTACTTAACTTTATGTAGGAGATGGAAGACTAGTGTAAATATTAAAACATAGCGACAATCGTAAAAAGAAGGTTTCAAACTATAGTATACTCTAAAACATATAGATAAATAATATTTTCATTGAACAATAATAAAGTAATTTCATCTTATGTTTTGTATTCTAATAACGATAACAAAATTTTAAATATCACAAATTATTTTTAGGAAAACATCAAGTTAATCAACACAAGTCGTACTATTCAAGCTATTGCTCTTGAAAATCTTCCTAAGTGTCCTTACTTTTCGATAATGTTTAAGAATAATAAAAAAATAGCCCCAGGAATGAGTGTTATTGCTACTATCACTTTTAGACCTAAAATATATAAAACTGTCACAGATACAATCCGTTTTAAAAATAATACAGGTAATAATGCATGACGTTAATTACAATATAAAAAATAAAATATATATTAATAATACTTTATATATTGTCCTTCTAAGAAGCAAATTGCCTAAGTCCTTTGTTTTTTCATAACAAAGGTATTAGTGCCATCTGGTGAGAAATGTACAAATCCATGACTTGACAGCTGCCTAAATATCTAATCTAACCTTTACGGGCCACAAACATATTAAGTGAATACATTTTGCTTAAGTCCCACATATGTAGTGAAACCGTAATCGTAGTTTTTAAACAAAACGTGGTTCCTATTTTAGTGCTTTTTTAAATTGATTAGGTATGTAAAAAACATTTTACCAAAACGTTAATAGTTGCAGTATGCAATTAGCTTTAAATTTTGATGAATTGTTGTAATTTTCTTCTTCTTCCCGTGCCATATCAGAATAATCCGACGTTGGCGATCACCATTGCGAAGGCTTCTCGATCTTCTGCAATATAGAATAATTGTCCCGCATTTAATATCCGAGTTTCATTTTTCTTCCATCCAAGAAACCCGTTTTCTTCCTACAGCTCTACGGCCCTCTATTTTGCCTTTAAGGAATTAGCAGTTCTTTATCTTTATTGATGCTCCTTAGTACTTCATTAGTTTTCCTTGCTGTCCAAGGTATCTTCAGCATTCATCGATGAACCCACATTTCCAATGCTTCAATTTTGTTCACGATTGTTACTTTTAGCGTCCACACTTCTGCATTATACAAATGTTAAGAGCAAAAAGTGCCTCCCTGTTTCCCATAGCATTTCTAAAACCAAATTGGTATCTTCGAGGACTTCTTCGCATTTGAGTCTAATTCTGTTGTGAAGTAATCTTGGGAAAATTTTAAGAGTGTGGCTCATTAGGCTAATTTGTAGTTTTACGAAGTTTTAATATCGGCGTGGAGTTAGGCAAATTTCTACGTCAACTGATATAGTGGCAAATGCAGTGCTTTTTTATCACTATTTCAGTATTTTTACTACCTGAAATTAAACCTTGCATTGAATTGATTTTAAAATATACCCTTTTAGCAGCTTGCTTTCAAAGCACCTGTACAATAATATTTTCTGATTCTCGTAAATTATTTGTCTTTTATTTAGGCACGTTTTATTTATCGATGCGTCCAGGTTTACCTTGTGGTTTTCAGATGGCCGTAAGAGAGAATTGCGAAGACCGCATGAGCATTTTGTAGAATGTAGGGTAGGCTATCAAGAGAGTTTCATTATGGTGTGGGCTAGAATTTCAGTAGACGCACGTACAGAATTGTATATCGTTCTGAGATGGTCCACAAGAGCTGCCAGGTACATTGATGAAATTCTCCAAGATTTTGTTATGTCTTATGCTGGTTTTGTTGAAAACGACTTTGTTCTGATCTATGATTATGCCAAACTTTACAGTGTGAGAATTACTTAACAGTTTTTAAATGAATAAACATTCCTGTAATGGATTGCCAGCATTGAGTTCAGACGCAAACCCAATCGAACATGTTTGGGTCCTGCTTGAGCGAAGGATACGAAGTCGTGTTCCTGTCCCTTTAACCTTAAACCAGTTACAAGAAGCCTCTTAGAGGAATGGGAACTTATTGCTCAATAGGATATTTCTCATTTGATTTTAGGCATGCCAAGGAAAATTCAATCAATAATTCGAGCATGTGGAGGAAACAATCATTAATAAAATCAGTTTGTGAGGACACATGATTTAAGTTTTCATTAATTAAGCGTCATTTTGTTACAGAATTTACTTACGTTTTTCCTTAATTTATAATTTATACAGTGGGTTGACTTTATCAGAAGTTAATAATTTGATAGCTGATAACATTGTAAAAATATGTAATAAAGTTAAAATAGTAAACACAAGATAAGGTTAAATATTTTTTCTTTTTATTAGGCGAAATTGTTGAAGTTCAAATAATAGCCTCCAGAGATGTTCCAAAACTTATTACCTGCATTTTTAAATCATCGAACACCAATCTTCTTGCTTCGAATAACTTAAAACCCGGATTCAAGGAAAAACGAAGAGAAGCTCTTAATTCTACCATCGACTGTGGTAGTTGTCTTGTTAGCCAATATGTGCTAGTATCGATGATTTTGGAAAACAGAGGTATAACTGGAAAATTCTTTTTTATTACTGAAGATGACTGGTTCTTTCAAAATATTAATGTAAGTAATTTATTTAGAATAATAAAATAGATTATGCATTCATCTAGACACTACCAATAGTGATAAAATATGTTAAATATAAATATATATTACGAAGATATTTTTATAAATTAATCACAATTAATCGATGTAAATTGTCCTACTTGAATCGGTACATCTAGCAAACCAAATGTCAACTTTACTTTTATGAGCAGAAGGAAAAAGTACTTCCCGCTGTCTTAAAACTACTACTAGAGTTATGTACCTATAGCATTTTTCATATAAAAAAGCTTGCGCGTCATTCAAGATTTACGTCGTCAGAACCCCACAGCGTTGCCAAAACATCCGAATAGTTAGTAAGTGAGGAATTTTTAAAATGTCAACTATTTGTCAAACTATTATATTAACAGTAAAAACACTTAGTTTTAAGACTACTACAACACATTAAAATACATAAGAAAACATTTTAATTAAAAATTATATATTCTAAATTTTAAACTTACTTCTTTTAGGGCTTTAATAGTAAAAACGTCCCGGCATTATTTCTTGTTCAAAATAATCTCTCTTATATGAAAGCTTATTAGCTTTTACACACTATTTATTTGTTTTGGCATATCAAAATCACAATACACAGCAATAATTAGTTTTCAAAGTTATTAATCTAAATTCTAAATTTAATATGTATTTATGAATACAATTTATTAATATATATTATATTATGATCAAATTGTGTAAGAAATCAAAACATAAACAAAATTCCTACTTTACAAAATCGGCAACACTTTATACACTTTTACCACACACTCAACTGTCAATAAAATTTTAAGTTTCCGTATCAATTGCATACAATTATCTAATATATTTACTTAAAATTATTATTTTGTGGAATATTAGACTTAAAGAGTTATAATGATGATTATATTTTACTGATTATTACACCATGTTGACGCCTATGAAAGATCGAGCAGTTCCGTATGGGTTTCGTATTATTAGCTGTGTTAGGAAAATTTGCACTCTAAGGTTCATGTTCTGGAAATTTTAAATACAAGTGACGTCACTTTGTATAAATCGTGACGTTCAGGTGTTTTACTTTGAAAAATGGTATATATATTGTCTTATGTGCATTAAAGAAATGTTTACAAGTTTACAAAATAATCTTTCAATCCTTGGAAGCTAACGACCAATGAAACTCTTGCACACAATATACGGTATTGGTAGTTTTAAAAATTCTATCTAAGCAATTTAAAAATTTTAGCTTGCAATTATAGTGGGTTTTAAAGAGTATTAACATCGGTGGACAGAAGGTACTAAACAATAATTATTGTAACGAGAAGGGCTTAACCATCAATACAAAGAAAACGAAATAAATGATGGTCAAAACAATTAATATTGAAACTAAATCTAAAACTAGATAAGAAATGGATGTGAAATCTGGATAATAAAAGTGAATCACCTAAATCGATTGTAATCTTTTTAGTTATAGTGTTAGCGTCATATGCTCAAAATCCGGTAAACAGCACACATATTTAACGAATGTGTACTAGAAACAACAATAAATTGATTAACACCATTAAAATGAGAAAGGAAAGGAAAAATCATATAATGAGTCGACTTAAATATCAATTACACTGGTTGATTATTCATGAAAAAATAGAAGGAAAACGCTGGGTCAGAAGAAAACAACTCTTCAAGTGCCTATCATTTGACTAATGACAGGTTGAACGGTCGAGGAATTGTTTCATGTAAATACCACAGATGACCATAATAATGTTATAATCATCCGTGTATGTACCGACCAAGAAGCATTCTAGCAGCATATTAGCATGACGACAGCCAACACATATTAACAGTTGTTGGTGTTATATCAATATATACTACAGTAAGTGATGGATTCAACTGTTATTTGATGGAAATTCATTTTATATAACAATAAAACACTGAAAACTTTGTGCACTTCACTACAGCTGTTTAAGAAACGCAGAGTGCCTTTCTCAAATGATCTATGTTTGGTATGTGTTTACACTTTAAAGTCTTTAACGAAATAGGTTGAGGATGGGAAAACTGTTTGTCTTAAGTTGGTCATTCAGAATTAGGTCTGTGTTTTTTTAAATTGTTAATTTCCATAGATTCTAATAAAGATAGCTTAAGGCCTTTATTTTGGATGTAAAGAATTTGAAATTCGTCATTAAAAGAATGAAGTGCGGACGAAGAATCTGTTTTCTATTATGGAAAGCCCTTTATTTTTTGCTATACGTTTGTTAAAAGTTCTACCAATTTGACCGATATAAACTTTTGGACAGTCACCACGTTCAAGTTTGTATACACAACTTTGAAAGTACTTTTTATTTTAGCTTTTGTTGTTTTGGATATATTGGCCTAGGTTGTTGTTTGTTCTAAAAGCTGGTGTTATTCCTTTTTTTATGTGTTTAGCGATTTTTGTTGATATTTTGCCTGAATATGTAGTCGAGCAGAAGGTACTATGTTTTTCTCTGGTGGTGAAAATACTAATGTCAGGGCTTTCTGGTGTAGCTTTTAATTTAAAATTTTATTAATTGTTTGTTCGTTATACCCATTGTTTACTGCTATTTGCTTAATGATATTTAATTGTGTCTCATAGTTGTATTTTGACATCGAAATTTCTGTTAATTCATGTAAGGTTGCTGCTGACCTTATGTTTTATAAGATGGGATGATAAATTGTGTATAGTCGTGTCAGTATGGGTAGTTGATTATTAAATTCAAAGTAGTCATGGTTTATGCAAATTTCAAGAAGATGTAAAATTTTAGATGTAATGGTTGGATTTTTAATATTATGGTCTACAAGATTTTTTACTAGAACAAAAGTTTCTATAGGAGGAATACTGGGAAAAAGATTTTTACGTCAAATTAAATTAATCTTGTGTAACGGGTAGCGGGTAGGTACTTTTCACGATCGGGTGGAAACAGACCTACTTCAGGGATTAGCGACCCTGCCCACGCTAGCTCATGATATTTCACCATCTCACACCGTGGAATCTCATGTCCCAGGGCCTTCATTCTACACCCTCCATATTTATCCCTCCTAGTCCTCAATTTTAGTGAAGGGCAGCAGCGATCACCAGTACCAACGCAAGGCGCAAAAGAAATTATCTTGGACCGGCTTGTTATTGGAATTCCACAGGCATGACTAGGACAGTTTGAATGGCTGTGGTAGTGCGGTGTTGAAAGTAACGGGATACTACAATACTACCTTTTCCCCAGGATAACTCCTTTCATTATGGCAGAACAAAACAAAACTCAGATGGCCATCAGTCCCGGGCAGTCCTTAGATGGTCAGAGGGTGCGAAGAATCTCCCGGTGCCAAATAGATAATATCCAACGAATTTCAACATGGAATGTCAATAGTCTTTACGAACCAGGAAAACTACACAACCTTATAAAGGAAATGAATCGGTTGAAAATAAATATGATGGGAGTCAGTGAAGTCCGATGGTCTGGATCTGGACAGTTTACGAAAGATAAGATTACTATGTATTACTCGTGTACTGACCCAACAGACCCAACATCAACGACATGGAGTGGCTATTGTTCTTGACAGGAAGACCAGTAAATCGGTGATAGATTTTGTTCCAATTTCCGAACGAGTCATGTTGATCAAAATGACAGGCAAACCAGTAAACATAAATGTGACACAAGCATATGCACCAACAGCAGATAAGTCAGAAGAAGAAATAACTAAGTTCTATAAAGATCTGGAAAAAGCAATAAGACTAACAAAGAAAGAGGACATAAACATAATAATGGGCGACTTTAACGCCAAGGTGGGTAAAGGAAGATATGAAGACATAATTGGAGAGTACGGCCTTGGAGTTAGAACTGAAAGATTCGACCTGCTGTGTGAATTCTGCCAGGAGAACGGTTTTGTCGTCATGAACACATGGTTTCAGCTCCCACCTCGTAAGTTATATACTTGGAGATTACCAGGAGACCGTCCAAATCGAATAACTAGAAACCAAATTGACTACGTTTTAATAAACAGAAGATTTCGTAATGCTATCAAAAGAATCGCAGCATATCCAGGTGCTAATATTGCATCCGATCATAATCCGCTAATAGCAGATGTGAGGTTAAAACTAGCAAAAATTAAGAGAACAAATACAAATACCAGCACACCGATAAATACAAGAGAACTGATGAGAGACGAAAATCTGAAGAAGAGTTATGCGAATCAAATTAATGAAAGAATGCGAGTAATAGAACAAAATGATAATATCGAAGAGATGGTCAATGATATTAAAGGAACGATTCTGGCAGTAAACAGGGAAGTTAAAACACAGATCAGAAAGAGAAAGCATAACGAATGGATGACGGACGAAATTATGGATCTAATGAAAAAGCGAAGGCAACATTAACAACAACGTAATCAAGACAAATACAAACAGATACACAAAGAAATCCGTCAGAAAATTAAGAAAGCAAAAGAACGTTGGATGGTGAAAAGGTGCAACGAAATAGAACAATTGCATGAAAAAGGAGATAGTTTTGGACTACATAAGAAGATCAAAGAAATATCGAATATGCACAAAAGCCACCACAGAATAAGAATACGCAACGACAGAAACGAATACATAGAGTCAGAAGAGGAGATAGCAATGGCGTGGAAAGAATACGCAGAAAGTTTTTTAATGACGAGAGACCAACACAACCAGCGCGCAAACTTAATCAGGGCCATCAATAATGCGAAGTGAAATAGAATATGCTACACTAGAACCAACACTAGCACAATACACTAGACTACAGAGATTACGATGGGCAGGGCATGTGGCCCGCATGCATGAGAACAGAATCCCCAGAAAATTACTAAACGCAAGAATGCAAGGAAAAAGACCTGTTGGAAGACCAAAAAAGAGATGGGAAGACGAGGTAGATGAAGATGCCAAAAATCTCCTAAAAACGCGTTCATGGAAAAGAACAGCATTAAATAGAGATGTTTGGAGAGGTTTAATGAAGGAGGCCAAGGCCCGGCTTGGGCTGTAGTGCCATTGGATGGATGGAAATAGAATATGCAGTTAGAACCACAAAGATGCATAAAGCAACAGGTCCAGATGAAATTAATATAGAAGCAATAAAACTACTAGACAAGGAGAATATTGAAATCTTGGTAAGGCTGTTCAATAGAATTTATGATACTGGTTACATTCCGCGAGAATGGCTGCAGTCATCCTTAGTGATGATCCCAAAAACAGCTAATGCCACAAAATGCAATGAACACCGCTTAATCCGTTTAATGAGTCACTTGTTGAAACTCTTCCTTAGGATATTACACTCAAGAATGTAAAGATACTAGAAGAACTTAGCGGGTCAACACAATTCGGTTTTAAGGGAGGACTAGGAACAAGAGAGGCAATTTTATGTTTGAACACCTTAATACAAAACTGCTTAGATCAACGAAAAGATGTCTACCTCACCTTCATCGACTACGAGAAGGCGTTTGACAATGTTAAACATGATATCATGATGGAACTACTACAGAGGGCCAACATTGACCAGAAGGAGATCAGAATTATTCAGAATCTATACTGGAACCAAATGGCAAAGGTGAGGATTGATCAAGACCAATATACGGATGAATTTAAAATCCGGAAAGGTGTCCGCCAAGGCTGCATACTCTCTCCGATGCTTTTTAAATTATATGTTGAAAATATATTTGCGGAAGCATTAGAAGATACGGAATTAGGCATTAAGGTGAACGGCATACCAATTAGCAACCTACGCTATGCGGACGACACAGTGATTATAACTGATAATTTGGAAGATCAGCAGTTATTACTTGATAGGGTGAAGAGCATAGGTAAAAAATATGGCCTCAAAATCAACATTTTTAAAACGAAATATATGGTCATTAGCAGAAACCCTCCAGAAAACCCGATAATATGCACAGGTGACAATCGTATAAATCGCGTGAAAACTTTTAAATACCTTGGCAGCACAATCAATGACCAATCGGATCCACAACACGAGATAAAAACCCGAATACAAATGGCAAGACAAGCTTTTGTGAAATTCAGACCGCTCCTATGTAATCAACACCTAAACTTCGAAATACGCTACAGAATGGTCAAGTGCTACATATGGTCCATCTTGCTTTATGGCATGGAAACGTGGACTTTGAAAAAAACATCTATCAACAAACTTGAAGCATTTGAAATGTGGTCATTGAGAAGAATTATGCGCATACCTTGGGTGGATAGAGTTCGAAACGATGACGTCCTTAATAGAGCCGGCGTGGAAAGAGAACTCATTGAATTAATTAAAAAACGCAAGATTGGTTACCTTGGGCACATATTGAGAGGAGCAAAATATGAAATACCACAGTTAATCCTACAAGGGAAGATCGAAGGTAGGAGAGGGCCGCAAACAATTATCCTGGTTAAGGAATATTAAAGAATGGACAGGAATACACAATACAGGTGAGCTGTGTCATGCCGCCAAGAACAGAATTCTAGTAATGAGATAGTCGCCTACGCACTTTGGTGTATGGCATGTTAAGAAGAAGAAGAAATTAATTTTGAGTTGTTAGGTAATTGAAATTGTTGTATTTTATTCTAATATTAATATATTTTTATAATATTGACAACAATTTATAATAAATTTTGTGGATGTGTTGAAAAAAAAATTTTCAGTGTTTTATTGTTATATACTATAATATATTTCGTAAGGTTATGAGTAACGATCCTGGCGTATTAATTCTTTTAATATTTTAGGATGTTTCTTCATGTATGGAGTTGTTTAAGGGCGACTTTTGGATATACCCAACATTCTTTGAAGTTTGCAATCAAGAAATAGTAGAAGTGAATATAATATTTCAGCCTACCAAACCGGGTCTTCATGCCGAAACGCTATATTTAATGTGTGATAATAACACTTTTCAAGAAATTGAACTAGTTGGAGATGCCGTAGAATTTTCAGAAAGCTTAATAGAAATAAACGTAAGACATGTTATTTATATATTTAGCGTTTTTGTAATTAGTTAAATAAATCAAAAATTTTATTTTTTTAAGTGTGTGTGTGTGTGTGTGTGTGTGTGTGTGTGTGTGTGTGTGTGTGTGTGTGTGTGTGTGTGTGTGTGTGTGTGTGTGTGTGTGTGTGTGTGTGTGTGTGTGTGTGTGTGTGTGTGTGTGTGTGTGTGTGTGTGTGTGTGTGTGGTGTGTGTGTGTGTGTGTGTGTGTGTGTGTGGTGTGTGTGTGTGTGTGTGTGTGTGTGTGTGTGTGTGTGTGTGTGTGTGTGTGTGTGTGTGTGTGTGTGTGTGTGTGTGTGTGTGTGTGTGTGTGTGTGTGTGTGTGTGTGTTGTGTGTGTGTGTGTGTGTGTGTGTGTGTGTGTGTGTGTGTGTGTGTGTGTGTGTGTGTGTGTGTGTGTGTGTGTGTGTGTGTGTGTGTGTTGTGTGTGTGTGTGTGTGTGTGTGTGTGTGTGTGTGTGTGTGTGTGTGGTGTGTGTGTGTGTGTGTGTGTGTGTGTGTGTGTGTGTGTGTGTGTGTGTGTGTGGTGTGTGTGTGTGTGTGTGTGTGTGTGTGTGTGTGTGTGTGTGGTGTGTGTGTGTGTGTGTGTGTGTGTGTGTGTGTGTGTGTGTGTGTGTGTGTGTGTGTGTGTGTGTGTGTGTGTGTGTGTGTGTGTGTGTGTGTGTGTGTGTGTGTTGTGTGTGTGTGTGTGTGTGTGTGTGTGTGTGTGTGTGTGTGTGTGTGTGTGTGTGTGTGTGGTGTGTGTGTGTGTGTGTGTGTGTGTGTTGTGTGTGTGTGTGTGTGTGTGTGTGTGTGTGTGTGTTGTGTGTGTGTGTGTGTGTGTGGTGTGTGTGTGTGTGTGTGTGTGTGGTGTGTGTGTGTGTGTGTGTGTGTGTGTGTGGTGTGTGTGTGTGTGTGTGTGTGTGTGTGTGTGTGTGTGTGTTGTGTGTGTGTGTGTGTGTGTGTGTGTGTGTGTGTGTGTGTGTGTGTGTGTGTGTGTGTGTGTGTGTTGTGTGTGTGTGTGTGTGTGTGTGTGTGTGTGTGTGTGTGTGTGTGTGTGTGTGTGTGTGTGTTGTGTGTGTGTGTGTGTGTGTGTGTGTGTGTGTGTGTGTGTGTGGTGTGTGTGTGTGTGTGTGTGTGTGTGTGTGTGTGTGGTGTGTGGTGTGTGTGTGTGTGTGTGTGTGTGTGTGTGTGTGGTGTGTGTGTGTGTGTGTGTGTGTGTGGTGTGTGTGTGTGTGTGTGTGTGTGTGTGTGTGTGTGTGGTGTGTGTGTGTGTGTGTGTGTGTGTGTGTTTTATTGGAACTGGTTTTGCCAACCAACTGGCCAGTCAATTTGTTTTAAGTTCTCTCTTTATAAAAGATATTGTTAGTATTTACATTTAAAACTATTGTATTGTATTGACAGTTAAGACATGGAATGTTAGAAACTTATTTACTAGATTACTCTGTTTTTGCTGTTTTGTTTTTTGTATCTTTTTTTTTATTTTTTTTTATTTATTATTTTCTATTTATTTTTTTAATACTACGCTAAGACATAAACCCGATTCGACACCTCGGAGGTTTAGATCCTCTTAGTATTTTTTTTTTATTTTGTTCTTCATTTTTTTTTATTCTTTATTATTTTTTTTATCAGAGCTTTAATTTTAAACAATTAATATGACTATATAAAATTTTATATACATCTAGATTCTTTGACTCTAAAACATGTGTTAGATTAGAAGGTAATTGAACCTTAACTTTAACTAGCTTGGTAAACAAATTTGATATTTCAATAAAATGTAAAGGACATTCTAACAATTTATAAAAAGCATTATGTAACAGTTTGATAGTAGCAATTTTATACAATGAACTGAATATCATTAATAGTCTACAAGCCTATGGGAGATTTTTAATGGGTCATTTGACCCAGCATGAATCACATCTAAAACAATACTACAATATATAATATTAATTACTATTTAACTGGGAATAAGCCACAATTAAAGATAAAAATACGTTAGTTAGATAAAGATACGATATATTAAAGATAAAAAAGACGTTTCAATTTCCACTTTGGAAATCGTTCTCAAAATACAAACAGTATTTTTGTTTTATATTAAATTTACTGTTTGTATTTTGAGAACGATTTCCGAAGTGGAAATTAAAACGTCAATAAACGTATTTTTATCTTTAATTGTGGTTTATTCCCAGTTAAATAGTAATTAATTTACAATGCCACAAGAAAATAGCTTCAGAACAATATGATATAATATTAACTTTAGAAACTATCCCGTCAATTAAGGGTCAAGGGTAAGTTTGTTTGGTTAACCATTTTTGTACAGCATTTTTAACCTTAAGTCAGCGTTTCTCAACCGTTTACCATTTGCAATCCAATTTTATATAATTATTTTCACCGCACCCCCCTCATACAATAGAAATATATGGATTCAGGACCGATTTTCAGGGGGGATGGTGGTGGTAAATAAACTTTTTTCGGTGGTACCGAAATTTTTTTAAGGCACTTTTCACACACTTGAGTGCCATAAAGACAATCGAACCTTATCGTTATTAAAGTATATTTATTTGTCAAATTTTTTAGCCAGTCTCTATGGATCCGCCCTTGCACTAAACTTACAGTATAACCTTAATTATCAAATTACCGAGAATAAGTAAATTTATTGATATGTGGCAACACCAATGCAGAACCAATCGTCTCTCTTTGCGAGAAGTTCCGAGTTCCGAGTTCTCCTCTCTCCTCTTCAGGCCCAGACCTTAGACAAGGATCTACAGACCGAGAATTTGGCATCCAAATTCCACTGATTCGCGCAATCGTACTTGTAAGTTCGTATAGTCGGCTGGAGTTACAATTTGCCAAATTTAAATGTAATCGTTTCTACTCATTCATATTAATATTATAATGTATAATATATTAAAGTTTTTAATATTGGTAATATTATTAAAGCTTTTAATACTATTTTTTTAATATTAATATTAATATTAAGTAATTAAATATTGCGCCTTGCTTAAAAAAAGTACGAGATAAATAACTCGTTTTTTACATGAAAGTGCAATTTTCTTGCAAATGCCTTGAGAGGGGAAATTTCCAATATAACACCAACCAAAAGACAAAAATATTAACTTAGGTACATGCAATCATTATCACTGCTTAGCGTATTTTCATGGAAATCAACCGCTGTGCTGACTAGTATTTTTTTTTTAATTGTGATGAATAAATAAAGTATATATTAAATAAAGGGTATTTTAAATAAATTTGTAATATTTTATGCGAAAAGAAGAAAAGACTCAGTTCCGAGTCGTGAGCGTATTCGTTATATTTTCTTTAATTGTGTTAAGCTACTCGGATGTAAGTCGTTATAATTATTCAAAAAAATGAATTTACAATATTTTTTATTAAATCAAATGAGAAATGTTATAGCAAATTAAGAACTAAGGAAAAAAAAACAAACTTTCATTTCCTAAATAGCAAATTGTTTCTGAACAGTTAAGATTAACTTCCAAATAAAATTTGGATAATATTGTAAAGGCTTTTATATACTGAAATTAAATTAAAAAAGAACCTGAAAAAAGTGGAAAAATAATAAAAAATTCCCAAATTTAAATATATCTCGAAAACAAAATACGATCTGGAAAAAGAATACCGGAAATGTTTAATTTTTTTGAGTTCTTCGATTGTGTAGTACCTTCAATTTCAGTTTTTTTTCAACAATACTCGAGTATTCCGATTAAGTACTCTCAGCCTTATAAAAATTTCCAAGAAATTAATATCGGATGAAGTTTCAACAAGCGAAATGAAAATCCTAATATTAAAACAGCATTATGACCAGGTACAATATCTGACTGTTATGCAAATTAGTAGGTAATTAGAATTAGAAAGTCAGTATGGGCAAAACCAGCTTATTCAAATTATAGGTACCTACCTTTAGTCTTGTATTGAAGGATTTTAATTTATTACCCTTAGCATACGTAAAGATATAAAAAACGAGTTTATCTCGTACTTTTTTTAAGTAAGACGCAATATTTAATTACTTAATATTATTCTTAATATTAAAAAATAGTATTAAAAGCTTTAATAATATTACCAATATTAAAAACTTTAATATATTATACATTATAATATTAATATGAATGAGTAGAAACGATTACATTTAAATTTGGCAAATTGTAACTCCAGCCGACTATACGAACTTACAAGTACGATTGCGCGAATCAGTGGAATTTGGATGCCAAATTCTCGGTCTGTAGATCCTTGTAGACCTTAGTCGAGTCAGTTTAGTCAGTCCAATCAGCCCTTCCGCACCTGCTAAATTAATTGTGAATGTTTATGTTGTAGTTTGCGTTTATTAATTGCAGTTCACGGCATTAAATTAAAATATTCCAAGCAGTATGTAAATATACTTAAATTTATACAAAATCATGGATACATTTTTAACTGGGCATAAGCAAGCATTCGATACTAGTGAAGCATCAACAAGTTCACAGGCGAGAGTGGTTCCAAAAATAAAATCAAGAAAATATTCTCAAGATTACTTAAATTTTAAATTTACGTTTACTGAAGTAAATGAAGAAGAACGGCCTCTATGTGTCATTTGCTCAAAAATTTTAGCAGCCGACAGACCAAATAAACTTAAAATACATTTAGAAACGTTTTATATTGAGTGCATTAATCAACCACGAGAATTCTTCGAGTTAAATTTAAAATCAAATGAAAAACAAAAATCATTTAAAAAAAACTTTGAATGTGAATGAACAAGCTTTACTTGCCTCTTATAAAACCTCCTATCAAATAGCTAGATGTAAAAAGCCTCACACTATTGGTGAAGAGCTTATTTTACCAGCAGCATTTAAAATTGTAGAAACTATGTTTGGAGATAATTTTGCAAAAATTGGAGTCTACACCTCTATCAAATGATACTGTTGCCCGTCGAATTTGTGATATAGCTGAAGATGTACAGGTTCAGCTACTCAAGAAGTTGCGCGACAAGCTGTTTTCGATTC